TTCAAGCGACTGCAGGCCTCCTTCCGCGGCTCTGAGCAGCGCCTTCTCCTCAAGCAGAGGGCCGTCATAGCTACGGACCAGCACACACCACCAAAAGTCAAACACATCCAGGAGTTAGACGGGGGTCTTGGCTGCTTTATTTTGATTGAAAACACGCCGCAGGACGTGGAAGCTAAACAGTTATGCTAGCAGTGACTTCGCTTACCCAAGCTGCTCTAACGAGTCCAAAATGTCACACTCCATCGCTGAAGCCGCGAGCTGTTTCACGCGCGTGTATCTACTAAAAACATGACAGCACAGGGGGCTTTAGCATCCATTTATTCCGTTATCGTGGATATCCGCCTCCACTGTGGTCCGACCAAGACAATGACCCGGAATGAAACGGGCGGATTTCGGAACTACGTTCCGCAACTTTGGTTCCGCCTAGGTTCCGCCAGTTTTAGCAAAACTGTAAGTAAAGCGTGTCTATTTCCAAAATTAGAGTTATATATGGTTAAAGTTAAAACAATAAACTTTGTGCATTGATGTCGGAAAATAGATGACAAATACAAATGCTAACATCTAATCAGCCAATTATATGGCAGCAGCTCATTTAGGCATTTAGACCTATGACCAAATTTCGCATCAGAATGGAAGAGAAAGGTCAATTAAGGGACTTTGAACCCATGTCTAGAGTTTACAGGGAATGGTCCGAAAAGATTGTAGCTATACATAAATGGCTCCAATCTTAACCTGGGGGTTGTCTTGTTTTCTTTTTCTTTCTTTTTTTCACAAAAATTGGTTCTTTTATGTGCGTGTAACCTTTAAGTTTAGCTCGAATCTGTACTTTTGTGTGTAAAGCTCTATGTCCAGGCCCGGATGCAGGGGAAATGGACGAGACTGGTTCGACCCACCATCCAGTTCTTCCTGGTGTCGTTCTGTATGTGGGATACACGCGCGTCTCTGACTACAAACACAACCCGGGCGACGTCCTGGTGGGACTGCTGCAGGGCCCTCTCATCGCTGTGCTCACAATGAGTGCACTTCTGAGTCACTTTTATTGATGTTTATTATTAAAACTGAGGATATTTATCCAATTATATAAGGTGAACACTTAAATCCTCTATTTTAAAGTGTAGATAAACATATGAAAGCATCTATAATGGGGCCATCAGCATCAGAACTGAACTGTCAGCCGACTGGTATGATGAAAGTGATGACGGCTGGATGCACCAAAGGAAGCAGCCAACATCATGGAGGCAGTGTGATGCTCTAGAGAATGTTCTGCTGGGAAACTTTCTCCTGACTTCCATGTGGGTGCTACCCCCCACCTAATGTTCTAGACCACTAACAACCACTTATGACAACTGCTTTTCCTGATAGTGGAAACCTTATTCTGCAGGATAATGATGAGTCCGTAACCCTATCAACATCACTGTTAATTATACTACTGCCCATCTAAGTGAGAATAATTTTTTTTAAATCTTAGCAAGTTCTAAAGATTTAAAAAAAAAAAAACAAAAAAAAACAAAAAACAAAATCAGGAATCTTTTTGAAGACAACACGATGTTAAAAGGCCCTCTATATAGACAGAAAATTCTGCCTTCATGGCTTCTGAGAACCAGCTCACATTTCTATTGCATACCATTACCGGCAGACGTTGCTGTGAATTTTGTAAGAATTTAGCACATTGGATCTCTCAGCTGTTGATAAAGTCTTTTCTGCAGCGTCCTTTGCAACCACTGACATCGACTCAAAGTAGAGCAGCTACTCCTCTGTATCGAAAAGAGCCAGTTAACGTGGTTCAGACATCTGATTAGGATGCCTCCTGGCCATGTCCCATTGGGAGGAGATTCAGGACATGCTTGAGAGATTATAGCTTTCAACTGGCTTGGGAATGCTTCAGTGTCCTCCTGGAAGACTTGGGGAAGATGTCTGCAGAGAGTGAGGTCTGGACATTTCTGCTTTGACTGCTGACCCATCAACACTGCCCCAGATAAGTGACAGAAGACAGATGAATCGATGGCTAGATGGGTTTTGGGCTTGAACTAGTTCTACATTTTGTGGTCCCACCTCACAACGTATAGAACCTAAAGGATCTGTTGCTGAAGTCTTGGTTGTCAATCTTCAGAGGTCCCCACCCATTTAATGTTGCGGTTCACTAAATGTATGTCTTCTTATATTTTGTCTTTCTCTATGCAACATTGTATATGTTGGCTGTGATCAAGAAATCAATCAAGCGCAGGCAAAAGATTAAAACTCACCATTTTATTATGATAATGTTATTTGATATGTCAAATTACAAGTGTATGATGTAACATAAAAACAGTTACAAACATATGTATGCATATTTACATTATATTTATGAAAAGTAACAAGCTACATCTGTATAAAGAAAATACAACTATGACATGAGTTATTGGTACTATAAATTTTACAACAGATACTTGGTATTCTCGAACCATGATAATACCTAGACGTGTAGAAACCAATAAAACCAGAACAAGAGACGTTAAGATGGAAACTAGGATGGACGTGAGGCACTTTTTTGAGGTTGTCAGGATGTGAAAGCAGATGGCACTAAAGGGAAACCAAAAAAAAAAAAAAAAAAAAGATGCACAGGAAAAAGAAATGTGCACAAATAGAGAAAGTGAAAGAACGAAAAGTAAGAAAACAGGCAGTGTTTTACAGAATAGTTAAGAATAGTACCATTTATACTGCAAGTTTCAAAACACAAATGTCTTCCACTATTTAGAACTAATCACGTAAATGTTACATCGAGCGCTGTAAGATGAAAAAAAGCTTACGTATAGTATCATCAGTGCACCAAAGCATCGGAGAATTGAAACATAACCACTCAACTGCTGTAAAAAGTAACCGTTTTTAAAACAATACACTGAAGAGAAACAGGTTTATATAGCTTTTTTTTCATCTTTCTTAATCTACACAATGTCAAGAATGTACACTTGTATGCATTCCCAAAGATATGCACAGTTTCCAAGATTGAAAGAGGATAAAAGACTAGCAGCAAAGTGGTTAAAACTGAAGTCTTTATATAATGCAGGTCAAAAAAATATATATATATTAAAGCGGACAGACACATGTTGCATATATAATACAGTACATGACAGGAAGTTGCACTGTGCTGGTTAATGCAGAATGAGAAGTGTTATTTCAGCATTCTCTACACTTTGTATAAATGCACGTCCTACATTTTGCTTCTCAGCCAGCAAGTTTTAATCAGGTTCATCAAACCTTGGTTCAGCTTGCAATAATGCAGGGTAATCAGATTACAATGGGAGAAAAAGACAACCAACCAAACATTTGGTTACACACACACACCAACGCACATGCACACCGCCAACCTACCTGGAATCTAGCACGCACACACATACAAACACACAGCCGTGTGCACAATATAGTAACACTCTCGCACCCACACACATGCACAAGTGTCCACTTCATCACACAGAGCAATCAAACATTGCAAAACTGACCGTTGTCGTTATATGCTGTTGGAGAATTAAGGTTTAACAGTCGTTCATAGCTGATTTTCTCTGTCAACACAATAAAATTAGTGATTGTATCTAGCAGCTTTATACGTATATTTTTAGTATATAGTATAATAATATAGATTGTGATATAGATATATATGATAAATAGGTAACCTGTCATATATAAGTATAATGATATATAGATATATATATATATATATATATATATATATATATATATATATATATATATATATATATATATATATATATATATATATATATATATATAGATATATATATACAACACAAAACAAGTGGACTGCCACTACTGTACCGTGTTAGCACTATCCTTCCTTCTACCATACAAAACTAGAGAGGAACTCTATTAGAAACTCAATAGTCATTTCCATCACAAACGCCCTCTACTTTTCAATGTGAAATAATACTAAAAGGTGACCTATGTACAAATGCTGTCATTTCAAGCTACGGTATATGCTGACAGCAACGATAAATACAACTCTATCTTTAAAATTTCAAAGACAAAAAAAAGAAGAAACGAAAAAAACAAAACAAAACAAAAAAACTGGGATTATTATCAGTACTTAAATATAGTGTTACATATTTACAGGTGTTTGGAGTTTGGTACCAGGGGTTTGTCGTCTACCTATATATAGCATTTAAAATGTCCTGTCTAGTCACTGACTCAGTCCGCCAAGAGGTCAATGCGTTTCCCCACATTCGAAGGTTTGCATAGAAAGTAAAGGGAGCATTGGTTAGGGAGGAATCTGGAAGATAAATTGTTCTCTTGTACTACTAAGTGAGGTGTGGTTTCTCTCTTCTTTTTTTTTTTTTTTTCCTTTTTTGAGTGACAGGAAGTGGGAAAACATGCATATCTGATAATAACAGCATTTGGATGTTGTACCAAATTTGCTATTTTAAAAAAAAACAAAAAAAAAAACCCCACTGAGGTGGATTACACTTTGCAGTTAGGGAGCATTTGGGTTATTGCAGCCAGATGTCCAAACTAAGCTGTTCTTGTAGTGACTTTTATTCAAAGTTCAATTTTGAATATTCTGTTGGGTCAGACTGCCAAACAGTCCATGTAGATACTGTTTCCCAAAGGGTTGTAAATTTGGACATTTGGGTGAGGAGTGCAGGATAGTGTCTTTCTTGCCAAGAGTTAGACCAGAAGATTATCATCATTCACATCTGTTTACAAAATATGAAGTGTAGTTAAGACTGAAACGGAGGCAAACATAATCCATCTCCTGAGGTTACCAATTTACAGGTCATACCATGTTTGTGCAGTGGACTACAGATGTCGACATGCTGCCCTCGTCAACCGATATTGGCCTACCAGGAAATCCAATTGGACAATATTTCTGGTCATTAATTTTGGCTATAGCCCTGTCCATATATAAAGTGATTTTCGCTTGCCACCTCTCGCTTTGCAGCGGACAGCTGCTAGCAGACTTTTCAGACACTGACAAAAGATGGGGCAGGAAATAAGGTTTCCTATGCAACCAGTCAGCAGTATCCCTTGCCATCCCATTGGTAGTTGTTTCAAATTGTTGCTTCTAGCCATTTCGCACCGCTAACTGTTATTCCATCTGTCATCACTACAAGACTCCGAATTTCACTGACATTCCATAATCTCTGGTCTCCACGCCGCCTTTTTTTCTTCTTCTTGTGAGTATTAAAAACAAAACAAAACAAAAAAAACCCCAATGTGATGAAGAAGATTTTTAACAGTCTTATTTAGGGTGAAGATTTCTTTGTTTCCCTGGACAAAGACGGGAATAAATAACAACAAAAAACACATTAAAATGTGGAAAAATATCGTGCTGGCGTTGGCCAATTTATTTTTAAACATCCGTGCATCCATATGTAATTCATTTTTTTTTTAAAAATGCGCTTTTTGATTACTTTTTTTTTTTTTTAAATTTAAAGGGAAAAGGGATTCATGCAATTTAGAGATCTCGGTTAGCTGCTTCCACCTGCTTTCAGTCTTCATATTAACAGAACGAGCGTCACTCTTCTCAATCTAACTTGGCAAGAAAGCCGATGAGTGCATTTCATTACTTTGTTTACTCTGAAGCCAGGGCTTCCAAAAGCAGGATGGTGGTCAGTACTGTTATGAGTCAAAGCCTGAATCACGTAGTCACTGGTGACGTTACGTAACATAAAACCACCTCTGCGTATGCAGACCTATGCACACACACACACAGAACATCTCAGGGTTTAATAGCTGAGATGCTCAGCGTTCCCAAAACAATGCATTCATTCCTTCACTCGTTCGTTCATTCATTCATTCGTGGAAGGAGTGGACTAACTTTCAAGGAACAATGTAATACCACATTTGCACAACATTTGAAGGGGAAAAACAGAAAGATTCAGAGGTCAAACAAGGGAATTTAAGAGGGTGCTGCAACCAAAGCTTGGAGAGCAGTGCTTTAAAAAGAGGGTTGTTTTTTTTGGTTTTGTCTCTTTTATTTTTAACCCACTAAAAAAACAAAACAAAACAAAAACAGGATTTTAACTTAATATTTGAACAGACTAATTCCAAAATCTGGAGTTTTATCAGTCAAAGAATAGTCTAATTTAAGTGCCATGTCATTTTAACCAAGGAGCACTGTAACCCCTTTCCTCACCAAAACAAAACTTGCTGGTTGAGCAACATTTTAACACTCGATTAGGAACTAATTGTAAAAATGAGCAGGAAAATAAGAAAAGAAAATAACAACAAACAAAAAACCCCACCAATTTCACTACAGCAGTAAATAACTGGACTATAACTGAGATTCACTGAAGTAAATGAAACTGTTGTGTGTTGGTTTCTATTTATATGGTTCTAAAATGCAATTTTCTTATGAGGAACTAAAAATATATGGGGGGGAGGGGGTGTTTAATGTAGTGAAGTTGTTACCATATTTTTCCCTTCTAATCGTAGAATCGATCCCTTTATTTTGGAATGCAATCAAACGATCTAAATCACCTCAGGAAGGCGAGTTAGTCATTTTAACGTCTTTTAAATGAACTGTGCAAGCTGTGCCAAGGTGGACCTTCAAAATCAATCTATTACACTGCTTAAAAAAAAGTGATGGAAAGGAAAGAAGGAAATCAAATGGCCAGACATCCACCACAGCAACTACTCTCAAGCATTAAAATTACAATAGAACACGGTGGTTAATATACCACAAGAATTTCAGAGGATTACCTTTACTCGGGGGGAATATCATTTTATAGTGCACTTTTCTCTGTCTAATAATTACATTGTCAGCGAATGCTTAAGCCATGAAGGAAAGGCCACTGTTACCTAACTGCAAATTCACAAACAAGCAAAAACATATCCCTTTTAGCATACCCAAACAGCAAGTACGGTTTTTCCTCAGCGCAGTATAGTTTTGATTTCTTTTTCTTTTTTTTGTCGTGAAGTCGTCGCTCTCTGTACAAAAGACAATTTTCCTTCATGAAGTTACACATAACTTGTACTAGAAGTCTGATATTTGTGGCCTGGCTTATGAGTGTGAATGTGAGAGAGGTGTGTGTGTGTTTGCATGTGCAGATGTGTGTAGTAACATCTCCAAGTCTATTAATCGTGACTTCTCCTCCTCCTCTTCTTCTCCTCAGCTTAAGCTCCTGAGCTTAGCTTGATGCTCAGAGCCCCCTACCCCCCACAAAGCATATGGTTTTGTCCTCCGCTGCTGCTTGTCGGCGACAAACACAAACTGAAATCTCCAAAAGCCCTCAAAGTGGGGATCAACAACATATCACCCCGTCTGAGAGGGGAATGAAAAAAGGATGCCAGCTTATAATTTTCCGCTTTTATCCACTTCCTTTGTTTGCTAGCTTTGATGGCGTCCCAGTGTCCGGTGTCGGGTCACCCCGCGGCCTTGTGCTTGCCCCCACAGCAGCGGCAGGCCTCGCCACAGTGGTGGCACGCGCGCAGAGGCAGGTAGCAGCACATGCAGGGTGCGATAAACGAGAGCGCCACCAGGGCCAGCCAGCGCAGACAGAACTGCTCGTCAGAAGTGTCACATGAACAGGGGTCTGAGAAGTCACCCTCTGAGTCAGACATGCAGTGATACAGCATGCTCTCGGCGCATAGCATACAGCTGACTTTGTAGATGCACTGTTTAATTGGGTCGGGGGCATCCTGGCACTGCCCCCGCCAGTTGTCTTCGTGGTTGAACATCTCCCGACAGTAGATGCACCGTGAACGCTCGCCGTCCTCTCGCCGCCGTCTGCTCTTTTTGGACTTCATGAGGGGCGACGGCTGAGTCTTGATGGCCGTGTCCTTGCCCAGCCCAAGCCCTATACCTGTTCCTATACCCATTCCAGGGCCTGAGTGGGAGTCTCCACCGGGGCCATCGGGGAAGAGGTACTCGCACTTCTTACTGTCCAGTTTGTGAAATGCAGTGGGGAAATCCAGGTCCTCACGGTCAGGTTCAGGTTTCCACATGACAGGGTGACGGTAGTCCTCGTAGCCACGGATGAGCACGTCTTTGCGTGGGTTGATGCGGACGATCTCTTCTTCATCCATGCGAAAACTGACACGGCGAGTTGACTTAAAGAGGAAAATCAAAAGAGGAATAAGTCAGATTGCTAGAAAGACTAGAAATCAACACTTTGTGGAAAATACTACATAAAAAGTACCTTAATTTAAAGAATTATATATTGATATAAGCCAGTAAGGCAAAGGCAAACCTGTGGAGGCAGGTAGCGCCTGTTGCTGGAGGGGAACTCGTCAAAGGGCTGGGCGCGAACGTAGCAGCCCCTGAATGGCTCGGTGGAGACGACATTGTTCAGAGGAGAGAAGGGCTCTTTCATCGGGGTACAGATGGAAGGAGGCTCATCACACACCTACAGGCATACAGAATCAGGTAAGTATGCGAAACAGGATGAAACTTAAAACATGTTCAAATTTCTTCCTTAGTAACACGTCACAAAGAAAATCTAGTGAATTAACACTCTGATGATGCAATAACAACTTTTGTAATTATTTTTAGTCACTCTGCTTACCAAAAAATCTGCAAATTATCAATTTTTTTTGTTAATCCCCCCTGAAAAAAGCCATTCTCACTTTTCACGATACTGCTTCACTGTTAAAAGCTCTAATGGTCAATCAGTTCAGTTTTCATGATTACAACAGCTTTGACTCAGTGTGTGTAGGCTGTCGTTTGTGTGTGTGTGTGTGTGTGTGTGTGTGTG